GGCAAAAGGAGTGAGGCTTCACTTTCGAATGTAACGAGGGAAAAACGGTGAAATGAACAATTAAACTTTTATTATAAAGATGTGAGTAATTTTGCTAGCGCATGGAAAACTATCCTTTGAAACCTTATTCTATTCCTTATATGCCAATTTGTTTGCTTTATATAAAACAATGGTTGAAACCACAGGTTCGTTCATCTTGATTTAATCGTGGGTTCTGAAACACTTTTACTCCCAAAATTAGTTATCTAAAACGTGTTTTATCGGAAAAGATTGGTGCAATGGAAGGTGTAATCGGGGTGAATTTAACAATTACGTAATTTTTTAACATCAAAAAGGTTGGCTCCACACAGATGTAAAAGACTTACTTGATATGTGTTAGGATTGGGGATTTTTAAGGTTAACTTTGCCTGACTACAATTGGAAAGACGCTCAATTTATTCTGTGTCAATTCTTTGTGATCTCGGCAAAGAAAACATTTTAGTAGTCTTAACTATGCCCTCCTCAAATCATGTATCTCACCTATTAGCATTTAAGGTCCTTTAGTTTTGGCATTTAATAGAAGAAAAAATGAGATATCTCTCCTCATCTAAGGATATATTCTGTATTTTTTCACAGCCCCGTGAGTAATTGAGATTTTGTCGATACTAAGTTGTACTAATAATATTGATTAACAGCACAGACCAAACGAAATTCAAATTCCATTTAGTATTTATTGGTACTTTAGTTTTGACTTTAAATGTATGCGTTAATTGCTTAAAATCGAATTTACGGATTTATAATCTCTGCCTCACTTCAATTATAAAGCATCAATGTTTCCCAACTACAAATTCGAAAACCCAATGATGGATGATTTGGGGTATGCGATGGACTTACCCCCACGCGTATGTCATAATCTACTACTTCCACAGAACTCACCTCACCTTTCTTCTACCTTCGTCTCTGAAACACTCTTCTGTCCCCATCCCCTTCTCGATCTTTTTTCACTTTGATGTTCTATCCCCTCTGTGAATCCTGAAGTCAACCAAAGGGCTAATAATAACCATCAAAACGCCTGCCATTTGATATAAATAATGATGGATGATTTCCTAGGATTCATCTTAAATTAAAATTTTCACAATATTTCCCTCTTCGAGCGAGCCTGATTATGTAATTCAGTTCAACACTTGGGTCTACACTGTGTAAACGAACTAACTCGAGCGGCACCTTTCCTACCTGACACCTCTTTGTTACAGCACTTTTGCCAAACATATCAGCTAATGGTCATCCTAATACTATTTAGTTGACAAGCGTTTGCAGGTAGACGATGCTACGACTGGTTTATCTCTGCATTATCCCAAAAGGGAAAAAATTGCGATCCTTCCCAACGGGGTACCTCTCTACTGAAATTATTTAAGTAGATTTTATATCTATCATCTCTATTTGGTTCAATTGTTGCCACGGCTACAGCTAGAACTAACGCGAGTTTTTGGACCTGAGACCACACAGCATTAAAATTCTAATCCCCAAAACAACACTCACATTTACTCACATTTCAAGTAACCTCAAAAACGTGACGGCAGTAGGTGTGATTTTGGTCAAGGTAACAATGATCTTACCGGATAGAACAGGTATTAAAGCACTTAACAGGCAAAAAAGTCATCATCTCATTCTCAATATTTGATCAAAAGCTTAAAGCATCTGTATATATATATATAAACACAAGCATGTGCACAGACAAAAAATCGCAGTCATACAAAAAGAAATGAACAAAGGGATTAAAATAGGCTACAAAATGTGGAAGGGGAGTTATGGGGGGGGAGACACTAGTGGTTGAAAGACGTCTCTAAGGGCGCAACATCTTTGATTTCTATTTCGAAACGTCAGGATGCATGACGAATGTGACAATGCCAAAAAGAATGAAGGTGACTCCACCAAGATAAGTCACTAAAATGCGGAAAAAAAACAAGGTAGGTAAATAAATGTCAAAATAAAGTTAATTGACATTTTCTTATTATTTGATTCTTTAATACTAATCGTAAAACTACGCAAAAGGTCCGAGAGTACCCAATACGATTAGAACGAGGTAAGCTGAGGATTGCGTCAATGTAAATCTAACCTAGCGCATTTCCTCTGGTAAATTACAGGCGTTCCGATTTTGAAGCTTTTTCGAATAAAACTCCTTCTCCATGAGAAATATGACGAAAGCTGAGAAGGAATTAAGACACCAGTGATGACTTAAATTTCACTAATTTGTAAAATTCATTAAGTACGAAACTACTAATTTTATTTGAAATTTAACAAAAAAAGCAATGCATTTACACCATTGACGATGGCACTGACGCGGAAGAGAAGCAATCGAAAAGGCTTTTCAGTATTGAATTTTCTGTTGTCTTAGGTCTTATTAAAGACAAGACATGTGATTTAAACGTCACATATGAGAATATCAGACTCAACATTCATAGTAGATTCAATGCGTGTCTCTTCAAACGATCTCAAAAAAGGAGCACTAAATATTTTGAGCTGGGTAGTTTGAAAACAAATGTCTCGAAGTTCACCAGAAAACCTTACCCATCACCCCCCCCCCCCCCCCCCCCCTCCTATCCCTACCCACGACATAATTATCTTCAAAGCAATATTTATGAAGTCGCTTGCTCAGAAACTACAATGTATAACGGAATGTATTTTGAAATTGTGTAAAATTAGCTAAAATAGTAGGGTAGAAATTCGATTAGCTAAATACACAATAAACACAGAAATCGATATTTGAGAGTAAGTACTGAGAGTGCGACGTTTATTGTTTAGTAATTCTAAGCAATTCAAGATTGCTACAAGACAATTTCAACCAGGGGAGAGCAAACTAAAATTTGGGTATGATTAAAATGCATTTAAAGAGGTCAAAGAAGAGGGGATAAAAAAGGTGTCACTAGTTGGGATAGAGTTACCAACAGTCCCACTCCATTCGATTTGTTAAATTATAGTTGCACAATATTTACATAATGGGCAATTATTTGCCTCATGTATCAAAGTTCACTTTTCACTATTCAGCCGTTAAATTAATGAATAATTTCATATAAATATGTAATCCACATTGACCTTGATTAGTTAATTATGACCTTCAAAGACCGAAAAAGTAGGAAACGTCTCAATATATTCTTAAAACACGTAGACAGATGGATAAAATTAACAGACCCATTCAAAGCTCAACGTAAAGCATAATACCCACTAATATTAAATCTACAGAATTCGCAGAAAGTAAACACGTTCTCTAATTCAGTAAGGGAGAAATATTAATAAAAGTCGAAAAGCAAGCAGCTGGTTTATAAAGATCTCTCGAAGTTTTTAAATGTGTCAATTTACCGACACATAGACGCCTTGTTCTAGCGCAAATAATTGCGATAAATCATTGCAGAGGTGACAACATGCCGATCGACATAAAAAGGGGTCAGAACTTTCATGTCCAGGGGTAAAAGAACCTCCAAATAGTCATGTAGAATTGAATTGTCAAAATCAACCTCATTTTGTGCTTTAATGTATATTAACAGCTGATTAACGTCAGCTGATTCATGAGAAGAAGGAAACATGTTTTGGGGAAATATCGACTAACATGCACAAAAGCATTTTCCATACTCTGTTATATGTTTCCATATTCAATTAGGATGCATTTGGCTTTATTGTGGCTGGTTATTTTGAACATGAGTGCATTAGTTGGAAAATCAAATTCAATTGGCTCAACTTAACTAGACAAAATGCAACACTGTTGGTAAAAAAATATTATTTTAGGCAGCAAGCCCATCCGTGTAGGGTTGAAATTTGAGGGGAGAGCCAAGTGGGTGTGCGATAGACTTACCTCCACGTGGTGCACCCTGGAAATATGCCTTCACTATCAACATCTTATTTGGAAGCGGAGGGGTGTGTGCGATAGACTTACCTCCACGTGGTGCACCCTGGACAGCGTGCGATAGACTTACCTCCACGTGGTGCACCCTAGGCAACATTTACTCATACGGCAAAAAATTTATTAACCGGCAGTTGACTCCAAACTACCATGACCCCGCTGTATGTCATATTTGACTACTTCCACATTACTCGCCTCACCTTTTTAATACCTTTGTGTCTGTCTCTTTTACATCTTTGAAACATTCTTCTATTCCACCCCCCTCCCCTCCCGACATTTTTCACTCTGATGTTCCTTCCCTTCTATGGAGCCTGAAGTCCACTAAAGGGCTAATGATAACTAACAAAACGCCCTCCAATTTGATATAAATAAATTTTAGGCAGCAAAAAGTTTTGAGAAGGCTAAACCTCAGTGGATGCGATAGCAGAAACTAACGGGGAGTTCACTAATGTGCATAACTTTGTGCCAAACTAACACGTAATATGGCGTGGTTGTCAATACCAATCGGCGCGCATCCAATGAACGGAACGAACTCTGATTTGTCCACTACGCCACCGGTACCCAACTCCAATGACGCAGTATTAGGCTATATCAAGTCGGTAGAAAATTTGGTAATAAGCTATATTCAAGACAGTGGGAATTTCATCAAATCTATTTTAAACAGACTGTACAAAAATTACAAAAGCCCTTGCCTAAACATCGGCTTCATATGGTATATACTTTAGAAACTGTACTTTAATATGGTATAATTAGGCTCGAAGACCATCGCTATGGTTGTCATGTCACAGAATTATGAGTGTCATTTAATTTCAAAAGGTAGAAATCTTATTAAACAGGGAGACTTCATCAAACACAGGATTTCATTAATATGCATTACCTTAACGCGAAATATTTAAAACAAATCACCCCCCCCCTGTAGAGCTTATATGTGTTTGTACCCTTCAAGATGTGTTATTATTATTATTAAAAACATGAAACAAGGATGTAAAGTAAATAGGATTAGACAGTAAATCTCAAGCTTTAAACACTAAGTATTACAGAGATAGTAAATAATAACGCATCTGAACTTGGATAATTAAAGGGCAGGTCATTAAGCGCAATGAGGCCTAGCGACCCAAATGCCCCATCAATAAAGGGGAACAGACAATAAATAATATAAATTATGAAAATTCAGCTTACACCACTTAACAGGAATACGCTGAGCTACAATTCGACCGGCGAGGACAGCCAAACCGGTGCAAAGGGCATGTCCGACACAGCCACCCATGATAACACCAATAACGTCCTAATTTAAAAATAGAAAAAGTAAGTATGAATCAAGATTCGAGGAATTAAATATAAATGGATAATGCTGCTCACTTCACGAGCAGCTAACACAATAGTTGTTATTTGCGAGCGATCACCCCATTCTGCCAAAAATGTCATCACTAAAGCTTCAGCAAAAACTGGTGAAAGAAGTCCTCGAAGAACGGCTTTCAGTCGAGAACCAGATGTATTAGGTCCTGAAAGTTGTTCCTCAACTTCCTTGTACTCTTCTCTACTATCCTCTGGTCTCATATACCATGCATCTTTAATCATCTTGAGTCCAAATAGAAGAAAAAGGATCCCAGAGAGATAGTATGTGTAGATACGTGGAAGAACCTCAGTGGCATAGCCCACCAAAGCAGAGAAAACTGTCATGGCAATCAAAGCGGACATGGCACCAGCATAAACTATCTTTCTTGGATGGTCGATTGACATTATTGCAGCAATGAAAAAGGTTTTGTCACCAAGCTCAGAAATAATGATAACGTAGATAGATGCAATAAATGCTTGCATAAAACGATGTAAAAAATTATTGGAATCATCCTGTACTGATTTTTCCCCATCGGCTTGACCTCTTGGAATGACGGCGCCATTTATTATGTATACGGTGAGGATTAAAAGGAGAATAAAAGAAAGAGGTGGTAACTTTACCATCTCACTTCTCTAAAGCACAAGAAAGACCGTGTAGCCTTGAATTGTCAAGCGCGAATGAGCCAATCTTAATGCTGATATTGGTTTGTTTAAACTTTCTGTAATTTCAGAAAAAATATTAATTAAAATACTTGAAAAATAAGTGGTGTATAAAAAATTAAAATTTTAAATAGCTGCATAAATTTTAAATTTTACTGGAACTTACATTTTAATGTAGCATTTGGGATTTTAAAAAGTCTATGAAAAATTTTCCAGTACTTAATAAAGATAACAAACGCTTAGGGAATGGTACATATAATGTCAGATTGGGCAATTTTGATTAAAGGCTCAAATGCGGCCCTCGATATTTTACTACAACGTCATATTATTTAAGATGACCAGATGACCAGAATTGTACACGATATTTAGGCCATTTCTCGTCTGACCTATAGATTATTCGGTTAAAATGACCTTAATATGAACTGGCTTTACTGAAAACTATTTTTATTTCACTTGTTAATCTTGGCACAAATCCGTAAACTATGAAAATAGTTTTTGTGCAATACTAGCTGATTCATAAAAACATTTATTCTTCTTCTCAGTAGTAAATCAATTATCACAAATCCAGAAAATCTAAGTTTTTCCTAGTTCAAATTCATTAAATCAACTTCGAAATGCGCGAAATTTTGGTGGATTAAGTGAAATATTCGATTTTGAAGTTCAAATATTTGTCCTACCGTGATATTCCAGTTGATTCTAACGATAGAAATTTCACGTACATCGAGTGAATTGTAGGTGAACTCTCAAGCTCCTTAGGTAGACTTAACCTTATTTATGACAAATTATAGCATTGGAAACTCAAACTATTTGCCAATTCGTAATTTAAACAATGACCTTACACGACATCGCTTGCTTCGGTTATGCTAACGTTGTGTTCCTGAAAAACATGACTCTATTCAAAGAATTGTATGACATAACCAAAGACGAATTTCAGATTAACAAAATGTACATATTAAAATCCAGCAAAGTCCAAAAACGACATTTCGTTATTTAATTTGTTTTTTGCCCAGCACCGTAAGCGAAATTTTCGACACTGTTGCGGCTCCAGGGTGGGAATGATTTAGTAACGATGTGTGGGACATGTCATCGCATGTCTGCACGCCAGGATTGGGAGATGCGACCATACAAACAGTGACCGATCATTAACCTTTGTTTGTTTAACCTAATCCGCCATCCTGGTCATGATTAAGCTTCCTGCGTGTACACTTTATCCGCGATATTCCTACTGAATAAACGTGCTCCGTGCTACTCGTCTGTTTCCTTTCATATCTGGGCTTTGGCTTAGCTGGTTCTGGGAATCTAGCTAGATGTAGGAGGATCTGCCAATGAGATTTCTGAGTCAGTCAGGCTTTAAAAAAGTAGCGCACGATACAAGTTTGACTTGATATCAATATTTATTCTAAATTTATTAATTTTAACTTAATTTATAATTTTGTATTACTGATGCGTTGGTTTGTGAATTAATTCATCGATCATGCTCCGAATTCGATTTTAACATCTAAGTTACAGGTATCTTATTTTATTCAAGGGAGTTAAATATATATTTTCAAAGTTTGATATTAATAGGCAAAGTCATTCTCGTTAAAGAACACCTTACCTTTGTTCAGAGAGGTTATTTTAATTTCGTAAATTCTGACAATCAGTCAGATGTAAAATTCAGTGGTGCATGAAGACTATCATTAGCCCATTCTATTTATTTCTGGGAAGGCCATTAATTTCATTTAACCTTAATGTTCAATAAATATTCCTTTTATTATCAATGACGCAAATCTGATAAACTTCTGTTGCTATATATAGACTATTGTGAGAAAAGCATATGATCGAATCAGTAAGCTATCTGAATCACAGCGTAAACATACCCATTTATATCGTTGGTATGGGGTGGGGATAGACTTACCTTCACGTGGTGCACCCTGGGCAACGAATACTCATACGGCAAAAAAGTCTATAAACCGGCAGTTGACTTCTCACTTCTCATACGGCAAAAAAGTCTATTAATCGGCAGTTGACATCTTGACTTCTGACTTCAAACTACCATGACCCCACTGTATGTTACAAAGTATACTCATACGGCAAAAAGTCTATAAACCGGCAGTGGACTTCTGACTTCAAACTACCCTCACCCCACTATATGTCACAACTTCTCACTTCAAACTACCATCACCCCACTGTATGTCATTGTGTATGCGCATACGGCAAAAAAGTCTATAAACCGGCAGTTGATCTAACCCTAACACGGCAAAAAGTCTATAAACCGGCAGTTGACCTCTGACTTCAAACTACCATGACCCCACTGTATGTCATATTTGGGCAACAGACCCATACGGCTACCTCCACGTGGTGCACCCTGGGCAACGTGTACTTACAACCTCCATGTGGTGCACCCTGGGCAACGTATACTTATGCGGAAAAAAGTCTATTGACTGGTAGTTGACTTCTCACTTCAAACTACCATCACCCCACTGTATAGTTGACCACTGACTTCAAACTACCATGACCCCACTGTATGCCTTGACTTCTGACTTCAAACTACCATGACCCCACTGTATGTTACAAAGTATACTCATACGGCAAAAAGTCTATAAACCGGCAGTGGACTTCTGACTTCAAACTACCCTCACCCCACTATATGTCACAACTTCTCACTTCAAACTACCATCACCCCACTGTATGTCATTGTGTATGCGCATACGGCAAAAAAGTCTATAAACCGGCAGTTGATCTAACCCTAACACGGCAAAAAGTCTATAAACCGGCAGTTGACCTCTGACTTCAAACTACCATGACCCCACTGTATGTCATATTTGGGCAACAGACCTCATACGGCAAAAAGTCTATAAACCGCTGGGCAACGTATACTCATACGGCAAAAAAGTCTATTAACTAGTGAGATGGGTGTGCGATAGACTTACCTCCACGTGGTGCACTATGGGCAACGTATACTCATACGGCAAAAAAGTCTATTAACCTGCAGTTGACTTCTGACTTCAAACTACCACGACCCCCAAACAGTTGACTTCTGACTTCAAACTATCATCACCCCACTGCACTGGTCCATATTCGACTACTTCCACAGTACTCACCTCATCTTTTTCACTCTACCTTTGTGTCTCCATATTCGACTACTTTCACAGTACTCACCTCATCTTTTTCCCCACCTTCGTCTTTTAAACACTCTTCTGCCCC